GAATTGACCTAGGTGAACTAGAATGGCATGATTAGGGGTGTATGGACTTTTGTGCTATATGATGAACCCTGGACTGCTATATGATATTATTGACTTGCCCTAATCGATATGGACCTGGCTTATGCTGATGATTGTGTATATGTTGCAAATTGTGGGCTTGACTGTTGATATGCCTTATGATGGTTCGAAAAGGTGATAGGGTATGATTGTTCATGATTGTTGTATTTGGATGCACATGTGGGAAAATATATATTCTCTGGTGATATTATGATGTTTAAGGAGGATGACTTGCACGAGGGTTTATCCCGAGGAAGTGCAATTATACGACTCCTGATTTACCTATGTTGAGCCAATTGTGGCCGGGTCAAGTACATGTGTAAGTAACGAATTATGATTAAGCAAGATGAGATATGGATCATGTATAAGGACATCAAGTAAGAGTGATTTGGTCTCATGGTCAATTACATAGTAATTAGGGCTCCCCATGCTATTACTCCGTTATGATATGTTATGTCACACCCCTGATGTGGTGTTGACCGTTGATTCATCATGAGATATGACCACACCCAGAGTGGTGTTGAGTCCGATATGACCACACCCAGAGTGGTGTTGAGTCCGATATGACCACACCCATCGTGGTGTCAGGTCCGATATGACTACACCGGCAGTGGTGGGTCCGATATGACCACATCCACGAGATGTTTGGTCCGTATTCCCGGGAGAGTAACTAGCATGGGAGTAGCCAGGCGCCTATAAGTAAAACATGATTAGATGCATATGCATAAGTCAAGGTGGTTGAGTCTTTTGGATGGCTGAGGTCTGATCCTAGTGCTTTGGCTTGGTTGCTAGATGTATGGTAGGGGTATGCTCTGTTATGAACTCACTATGCTATGATTATCTCACTCAGCTATGAGCTGACCCTCTTTTATTCTTTTCCTCTGCTTATGCTACGTGTAAGCAGATCATCATCAGCAGCAGCAGTAGATAGGTGTATAGGTGGGAGCTGAGCAAGAGTTGAAGGCAAGATGAGGTATGGTCTTCAACTATTCTGTGCTTGGACTACTACTCGGGATTTTGGCCAGTGATCCACACCTTTTTGTAAAAATGTTTTGAGAACGTTTTTCATGTGCATACTAGCTTCTGATGTAGTGTGAGATATCCATAGGTGTGGAAAGTTGATGATATGTGTATATTTATGTGGTTGTGTAAGTTATGATGACTATGATATGTATTAGTAAGGCATGCAGTTGTGGAGTATGAAAACTGTGACTATGGCTATGAAAGCCAATGTATATGGTTGTGAGTATATATGTTTGTCCATGAATGCATGGATTCAGATGAATTATTTTGCAGGATTAGATGGAAGAACTGTTAGCCCATTACGCGAGTAATTCATGTCGAAATTTTATTTGGGTAAATTTTGATAATTAATGTAACATCCAAGATTAATTCCGCTGCAATTGTATGAACAATATGATTAGGCAAAACGTATAGGGTAGGGTGTTACAAAAATTCAAAACAAATTTAGTAATAGTGAAATTAGATATGTATAGGCTACATAATGCCCAATTGAAATATTCAGAAAAATCTTACGAATCTAAAATATGTTCACAATCCTAAGTCCAAGTGCAAACCAGCAACATTCAGTCCTTAGCAAACACATGACAAACTCTGGAACACAAAACAAATGTAATAAAAAGATCCTAGCTGCAACAAATTCTTTGTTGGCGTTGCAATCACTCCAGGGGCATCTTCCTCTTCAGTTTGTTGTCTGGAGTTGCATCAGAGTCCACTGGTGTTTCAATCGATTTTTCAGTAGCAGACTGTCCAGACTGATCAGAGGAGGGTTGAGAAGATGCAGGCCCACTCGCAATAGATGAAGATGATCCATCTTTGTGAATCATATAACCTTCTCCCTGAGATTATAATATCCAAATGTAACATTAGCCAGTAAAAAAATTATAATAGGATTCTTGATTGGGAAAAAAAGATTACAACCTAGATCAATACTGAGATAGAAAAGTGATCATAACACTTAATTCTTATTTAAAGAGGAAAATACTTGCAGGGGTATCTACTGACCATTGGGGTGGGTTCTAGTATTCTCAGCACAGTAAAATCAGCTTGGGAATCAGCAAAAAGGTTGATCTTGAATTTGACCTGGAATTTCTTGGTCAGACCTACCAATTGAAGCAATTCATCAGGTGGCAAGTCACCATTCTGCCCATTTTTCTGGAATAGTTCATGACCACTCAATCCAAAGTACCGCTTCCCTTCATACTCAAAGAGTACAAATACTGCTGACTTCAAATCACTTTGAACTTCAAGTTGAACACGGTATCTACACAAATCACGAGTTTCAAATAAAATTAATGGAAGCAATTACAGTTCAATGAGGAAGAATAATGAATGTCAACTAAGTAGGAGATGTTTACTTGGCAGCCTTGGCTGATATTCCCTTGTTGCATCTAACACAATAGTACTCATTTTGCCTTTGTATAGGCTTCAAAACACAGGTAGGACACCCCATATAACACCAGCCTGATTTAATTCCAACAACTTTGCATTCAACAGCAAACACCATTTCCTAATACCAAATACATTTACTATGAGTCTCTAATGAAATGAAAATGAAAATATTATAAGAAATATGAAAGACCATAGAAGTAACCTCCTGGTCTTAGGGATGGCAATCAAACCCATGGCCGCGGGTACCCGACCGCCCCATACCCAGTCAACGCGGGGAATCCCCGCTTTGACCGGGTATGGGGCGGGTATGGGTAAAACCCGCAAAAGGTTTGATGGGTATGGGGCGGGTATGGTTTTAGCCTTCCCCGCCCCATACCCATACCCATACCCGCCCCACCAAGAGAATTTCTTCACATATCAAAAAATACGTGGATTAAATTGTAATATATCAATGATGATGATGATAACTCGAGAAAATAAATAGTAGAAATGCAATTGAGTAACCACCTTAATCAAAACCTAATTCATTTCCCTCAATTCTCCTTCCACTCTTTCACTTTCCCCCTTGTCAACAAAATTATGTTAGTTAATTATTACTTAGTAAATATATCAAGAGTTAGAGCATAATAATTTAAAAAATATTATAGTCTATATTATGTATTAATGGATGTTTTAGGATCATATTCTTTGAATCGTATTTAGAAAATGACCGTGTTTTGTTGACTTCGTGATATAATAGGTTTGTTTATGGTTATAATTAAAAAATTTCTTGTAAGTTTTAGGTATAATAATGTTGGATGTACGGGGATGGGTATTACCCATGGGTACCCGAAACCCACGGGTATGGGGATGGGTTTGCAAAACATTACCCCGCATGGGTATGGGGCGGGTATGGGTTTGGGTATTTAAAGATGGGGATGGGGATGGTTTAGGCAAACCCGCCCTAAACCCGCCCCATTGCCATCCCTACCTGGTCTAGATCCTCTTGTAATTGCAAAAGTTCAGAAAGTGCAATAACAGGGAATTGAGGAGGTGGCGGTGGTTCCACAAAGACAGGCAGCTCTGGTTGCACAGTACTGATTTGATGAATAAAAAAATCAATAATTAAACTAAAACTAAACAACAACACAATGTCATAGACACAGTAGGGTGATGAATACCCGGTAGCAAAAGCTTTGACAGCTTGAATATCGAGGTTACGATACACAGGAGGGATTTGTACCCAGATATCATTGCCCTTCAAAATGGAAACGAAAACTAAATTTAAAAAACAGCACTCATTTTGGAACAGAATCTTCATATGCCATGAAAGAAGTGATTACCTTTGAATCCATCAGAATGAGGTCCAAATGGAGAACTTTGTCTGTATGTACATTCACCCCAAGCCACATTCTAGAGACACGACATTGACCTGACCAAATCTTCTTCTCCGACTCAAGGTCACGAATGCTCTGGGAATCCATTCTAGAGACTCAGCAACAAAAAAGGAGGTTATTGAAGAGCTACGGGCTTGCATCAAATCAGTAGATACAGTTACAAAAATTGAACGCGAATTGATACCTGGGAGAAAAACAAATGAGCAAAGAAAATTGTCAACTGCTGTCTCTAAGCTGATATATATATTTCCCGAAGACAGTAGCAGTTACTTCAACTTTGGAAAAGCCACGTCGGCCACGCAGAGCTACATTTTCGGAATGGAGAGAAGCTGCACACACTCGGAGGATTCCCGCGGAAGATTATTGCTGAATGGAGATAACTGTAACTCTGGGCAACTGTGACCTTCATTTTGTAAATATAACTCACAAAATTTGAGAGGGCCTTCTAACTTGGTCTCTTCTATGCAGCTAATTCTGACTCCTGGATTTCCCAATTTCAGACCCCGTTCCAGCTGAGAGCTAATCATCTTCACCTGAACGCTAAACTTGATATGTATTTGGGCGAGATTGGTAAACTGATTAATAGAATGGTGCAAATAAGATTGGAATTTGGTTGGAGATGGAAAGAGGAGGTGATTTCACCGGCAGCACCAAGCAAAGTGGAATCTACCGCAAATACAAAAATGGAGTTAGGGTTCCCTATGGCTTCACCGCTAGTTAATTGTATTCCATGTTTCCGGCCCTTGAATTTTGTGTGGGCTTTCCAATATGGGCCAGAGGTGACTAATCTTCAAATTGGGAATGGCAACAAAATAGAAGCCCATTTCTATATCAGATTGTGATCAAACAAAAGCCCTAGTCGAACAATAGTAAATATCAAATGTAAATCAAAATAGATCCTAATTAGAACTAATGACACTAAATTGGAATAAGACTCCACTTTTCTCACTTCCAAATAAATTAATACCAAACAAATGCACCAAATGATCCATTTGTTCTCCATGGGAATAATAATCTGTTAATAAAACATAAAGATCACTACTACTATTTTAAACAGTAGACATGGGTAGAGTTGCTTAAATAAACAGGAAGCAAGTTTGACATTTACAGTCAAAGAGAAGCAAAGCTGTATTACAAAGGAATAAATATAGTAAATTAATCCCATGTCTGATCACGCAAACCACACTGCAACTTGTAAGTTGAATCAAAAATTTCTTGGAATACTATGTTTAGCATCGAGTTCGGGTCTTCATCATTATCATTCTCAATCAAGATTTTGAGACCTTGCCTTGTTGTAACTCTGGACAATGCAACATAGAGTTGGCCATGACTGAAAACCTGCCTCTGGAGACATAAGCCAACATGATCGAGTTTTTGTCCCTGACTTTTATTAATAGTCATGCCAAAACATAGAGCGATAGGATATTGTCTTCTAAGGAGAGTAAAATTAAGACTTTTGTAATATGTTGACAATGTAAGTCTAGGGAGAAACACACGATCACCTACATTGGTACCGGTCAAGACCTCCACCTCAATGAACCATTTTCCCAAAGTCTTAACAATCATTCTGGTACCATTGCAGAGCCCAACTGTTTGATCCATATTCCACATCAAAATTACTGGACATCCCACTTTAAGTTTCAGTTCATAATCAGGAAAGTTACCAACCTTCAATGTATTCAGAAACTCAGTAGTATAATCAGCATCCACCACACCCTCCTTTCCAGGATCCACTTCAATTGAATCTGAGCTAAAATATGTGACCTCATCTCCTGGAAATTTTGCTAAAATAAATTCATTGATTGCAGAAACCATATCATGGTTTGGTGCCAAAATAGCTCGCCTGACCAAATAATTATGATCCGAATAATGACTCAAAAGATCACCATAAATTGAACCCACAATATCAGTAACAGGATCTGATTGGCGAGGTACTAATAACTCATGTGGAATAGAAATAGTAGACTCACCAAAAACATCTGAATCAACCCCATCACCAATTTGCAAAAGCCAATTCTGGAAATCAGCAATTGCTAGCATTTCTTCTGGACAGTGATTGCCACGTGCTAGCCTCATATTTTGAATCAATTTGATTACCTTCAAATGCTGCCACAAATAAGACCTCTTAATAGATGAGTTGACAGAATCAGCTCGTGTACCTTTCAATACTATAGGCAGGGTTTGCTTGAAATCCCCTCCGAAAACAATTGTCAGACCTCCAAATGGTTTCTCATCACTATTTTGATATCGGAAACGTAATATATCTGATGACTCGATATTTGCACATGTTTTCCCCTTTGTTTCTTGATCGTTTAAGCTTGCATTATTGCTTCTTTGGCCTATTTTACGCTAGGTTGTGTTCCTCTTTTACATTTCAGGTCCTAGCACATAAAGTGAAGTATAGGCACAAGTTTCAAGTCAATCAGAGATCAATTGGCGATTCGGGAGAAGAAACTCGGGCATGACCTGAAGAAGAATGGATTTCTACCTCACTTTATGGACAAATAATCATGAAAACTTGTCATGAAAAGAAAGAGGACGAGACTACGAGCGTCTGGGATCAAACGGAAACTGATTCGGAGTCCGGACGAGGGAGAAACAAAGCATTGAATATAGGGGAACAGGTTCGGCAGTAAAAACACGGCCGTGCCCATATTTAGGCACGGCCGTGTTATGGCGGACGCACGCGAGCGTGTTTTTAACACGGGGCAAAACACGGGCGGGCAAAAGCAAAACACGATCGTGCCCTCGACCGTGTTTTGCCCATAATCGGGTTTTTTAAGGGCACGGATAAAGCTTCCGACCCCCCTTAATTTCATTGACTCTCCACACGAGTTGAGGAAAAGGAGTTAAAAGAAGAACTCTGGCGAGCGCCAGATGTACAGAAATTGCTCTTGCTCGACTAATAAGGGTTGACCGTGCAAAAGACTGCAGTTGGAACCCCCGCCAAGTGAATGAAAAAGAAAAAAAAAAGTAAAATGAAAGTGAAAAAGGGATTCCAACAAGTGAAATGAAATGAAAGAGCGCCCGATACAATGAGTCCTTGGTTGTTGAATTGTATGAGTCCCTTTATCCATGAACTGAATGTCTTACTTCCACTTCTTCTCATGATCCTGGCTTGAGTCTAGTACTCGCATTGAGAGAGATAGGGAACGTCTTAGAGGACCAGTTGACCTCGTAAGTTGCTATATGATATAGGAAATCCTCTATCGACGATCGGGGTTGTATGTTGCTATAGAGGTCTGGAGAGATGCATTGGTTTGAGTTAGGTTTGCTTGGGGACAAGCAAACGGTTAAGTGTGGGGGGATTTGATGACTCGATATTTGCACATGTTTTCCCCTTTGTTTCTTGATCGTTTAAGCTTGCATTATTACTTCTTTGGCCTATTTTATGCTATTTTGTGTTCCTCTTTTACATTTCAGGTCCTACCACATAAAGTGAAGCATAGGCGCAAGTTTCAAGTCAATCAGAGATCAATTGGCGATTTGGGAGAAGAAACTCGGGCATAACCTGAAGAAGAATGGATTTCTACCTCACTTTATGGACAAAGAATCATGCAAGCTTGTCAAGAAAAGAAAGAGGGCGAGACTACGAGTGTCTGGGATCAAACGGCGACTGATTCGGAGTCCGGACGAGGGAGAAACGAAGCATTGAATATAGGGGAACAAGTTCGGCAGTAAAAACACGGGCGCGCCTAAATCAAAACACGGCCGTGCCCATATTTAGGCACGACCGTATTTTGGCCGACGCGCGCGGGCGTGTTTTTAACACGGGGCAAAACACAGGCGGGCAAAAGCAAAACACGGCCGTGCCCTCGACCGTGTGTTGCCCAGAATCGGGTTTTTTAACCCAAATTCGAGCCAAAGGAGAGGGAGAGCTGGGTTTTGTATCCCAAACACCCAAGGGAAGAACCAAAGAGAGAGAGGGCGATTTGAGGGCATTCTAAGAGTGGAATTGGAGGATTTCTTTGCCTTGGAAGCTCGAGGAACAAGCCCGGACTTGAAGACTGATCATCTGAAGTTTCTTACTGCAGTCTCTCTCTTCTCTATGGAGTAACTTCCCTTCACTTAGGTTTTGAGGAACCCTAGCTATGTTTGTTTGATTGGATGATTGTATGAGTACTCTTGATAATCTTGAGTTCATATTCAATCTATGCATGTTTTCATGATTCAATTCTGCTTTAGTCGAGATTATTGATTCTGCTTTGATCCTATGAGAGCGAATACCTGATTAGGTCAATAGAGCACCATAGATTGATAGTATTGGATCGATTGCTTTAGTCGACGGTTGATTCAATGCTTTGTATCGATTGAGAACCTCTTTCGTTAGAGGGAGTCTAGTTCAGAATGCCTTGATCGGTTGTTCTAGAGAAGGATACGTCCCTCTAGGCAATTGACTCAAGAGGGCCTTGTTCCTTTAGTCGAGACTCAAGGTCTAGTCAAGGATTCTCCGCATTGTGAATGAAAGTGAAACAGGTAAGAGATCATTAATCATTAATCTGGCTAGTGGCTAGGGGGAATCATACCTAAGTGAGTTCCCAACCTGTAATTATATTAACTTTAACTGTAGTTTGCTAGAGTAGTTTTAGTTCTTTCATCTTAATATGGTTTGCTAGATAATGAACTGAAACTGAGTAATAGTAACTCTAGAGACCCGTGGATTCGATATTTATTACTTGAGCCACTATACTGCAGTCCCTTTCATTGGTTACACTTGGCCATTGTTAGGAGTTGTGTCATAGCGAGTCAATATCTCGTAATGATTTATCCACAGCTTCCACCACATGTTTATGAGACATGACAACTTCATCCCAAATAATCAAAGAAGCACGTTGGATTAACTCTGCCAACTCACCTCTCTGTTCAATATGACAGGTTGATCGCGCATCAATATCAACTGGAATATGAAATCGGGAATGAGCTGTTCTCCCACCATCCATCAAAAGGGCTGCAATACCAGAAGAAACAACACATAAAACCACCTTCTGCTCTGGACGCAATTTCAAACAAATGACCTGCCACAAAAGGTCTTTCCCGTTCCACCACAACCATTAATGAAAAATGATTTTCCTTGGTCACCATACACTGAAGCCATAATTTCATCATAGGCTACTCTTTGTTGGTCATTTAATTTGGAAATCATACTATCAAATTTATAACGAAGATCTGTGGCATTATAGTTAAGCTCTGCAGCGATCAATCTATTAGATGAAGATTGCAACATATCAAAACTGGGAACTGGTAATCCTGGAAAGTCTGAAATGGTTTTGCAATTCCTGGAGAGCAATTTATCAATTTCAAGCAAGCAACATTCTTTCAACTGAGACTCAGTCATCTCCAATGTAGGCATATTAAGTTGCTTCCGACGGGAGTACAAAATATCATCGGACAACATTGTCCAATTTCTTTCCCATAATCTGCCAATATCTGAAACTTGACATAAGGTTATTATAGTGACAAATAAATCTCTAAGCTTCTGACCTGATGCCCAAAGAGATGCTTCAGCTAAACAGTCATTCCATTCATTATCTTCTGCCAATAACCCATGAGCATAACATGCCTCCTTGAAAGATTTATGTATAACTCCATTCACGGTCCTGATATCCTCAAAACTAACTGATCCACGAACAATGTGTAGGAGCATACGCAGGTAGAATTTGTCATTTGTTGGTGAAGGATGACAATAGTATAACCGACCAATTGAGAATTTGGACTTCCTTCTGTGCCATTCTCGTTTTATTTGATCCCAAACATAGAACTGGGGAAATTCTACAAAAGTGTACTGCCTTGCTTCTGGAGATGATTGATTCATTTTCATCCAGCTCAATAACATAGAGGTATGAGCTCGTTTAGATCGAAGTAACCCTTGAGGATTCTGGTTTTGCTTTGAGACAACAACGTTCTGATCCGGAAGATGATATGACATACGTAATACAGATGGATATTGGGAGTAGACATCAAACTTGAATAACCTCCAACATCCTTCACCAGATGTTATATAACGACAGTCTAAAAATGACTTGATCTCATCGATACGTGGAGTACGATCAGAACTTGAAGCACTCGAATCACCACCTGTAGCACTTTGAGTTCCAACTAATGATGCTTTGGCTCTATCTTGTGGTTTATTTATATATTTGAAGAGATATTTGATTGCCCTGCAATCAAAAGACAATAATGAAATACCACATATCAAACATGAATGTGAATTTTCCTCAATCATCAATACATAATTGCCTGCATTCTAATTTTATTAATTAGAAAATTTAAATAAAACTATGTTATATTGAAACGTATACCTACAAAAAATCATGCATAGGATTTTTTAATAATTGATTAGCAATTTATACAAAATAACCCAACATAATTATAAGAACATAAAGAACAACACGAAGCACATCTGAAAATTAAAATCATTCAGCACATACCTCGATTTATTACAGAATTCTACATTAATATGTGCATCGAAGCGCAATAATAAATAGAGATTATACGGAACAACGAAACGGTTATCCAAAGCCACAGAGTGGATATTGAAAGATATCCCAGTATCACGTCGTTAATATTTCACAAAACCATTATCATCAATTGTGGTTTGCTCACAAAACTGCTTTGGGAAATGTTTCGTACACCCCCCCCTTTGAGTGCAAGGAGCATTACGGCCCAAAGCACCACATGGACCATGCAACATAAATGCAGTTACAGCTCGATAACCTTCTGGATCTAGATCACTATTAGGTATCTCTGCTGATATTACATAATCTATTTCCTTGGGACCACTTAGTTTATATTCCGCAGCTAGGAAAACTAACAAA